CCCCCCACCCCCTCCCCGCCCTGAAGGCCCCGTCTTGGCCCAGGCACTGTGTCTCTGGCCTGGGCTTGAGCACCGGCCCTCAGCACACCCCAGAGGAGGAGCAGCTCTCTCCAGAAGCCTGCTACGAGTGCAAGGTCAACAGCCTCGCCGGTCAGGCCCGGGCTCGGCGCAGTGCACACAGGGACCACCAGGTGCCGCGGCGTGCGGTGGGCGGGGCACGGCCGCGGGGGGCCGCGCTGCGCTCCAGCCGGGTCCCCACTTACCCCTGTCCTTGGCGGTAGAAGCTGGGAGCTCTGGGGCCCCAGCCTGCAAACACCCGCCTCCCTCCTGTTGCTGAGCCAAGCACTTGCCCCACACAGCCTGGGTGGGATCTTCCCGTGGGCCCCTTCTGTGGCTGCTGGGTGCAGGAGAAATAGCCAGCGCCCCACCCCGTCTCTGCCCCAGAGCTCGCCTCACAACTCTTGGCGGCAAGCACCCGTTAGAGCTCCTTAGGATTTTGCGCCAGCTAGGGCCTAGAAAGGCGGCTTAGCCCCTGCATCAGTCACCCCTCTTTAGACCTGCCCCTCCCCTCCCCCCTTCCCGTGGCCTGAGCCCCGCTGTGTCAGAGATCACAGGGTCTTCCCCAGTGAGCAGGCCTCGGCTCTGTCCCTCCCCGCCCTGCTGTGATCTTGACCCCATTGAGGAGGATGGTTTGCCATAGTTCCAGCCTGTCTGTCCCTCACCAGAGAGCCCCTGAGGTTACTGATCAATCTTGCTCCCGCCCACTAAGGAATCTGAAAGCTAGCAGCCCTGGGAGGTGTTGATGCCATTTACAGGTGGGAAGTTGAAGCTTTGAGAGATCAGATCACTGTCCGAGGGGCAGCACTCGAGCGTGGCAGAGCAGGCTCCGTGGCTGTGGTCTTCAGCCTTCTGTTACAGGCAGCCTTAGCCTTCGTGGTCCAGCATCCTCTGGGGTCATCAACTTGAGGCCACTGATTTGCATTTTTTCCAAAATAAAGTCATTGCACACAGCAGCCATTGTTCTGCAGGTCACTTCCAGCAGACACCTGGAACCAAACTCGCTCAGCAGATTTTGCTAAATGCTGTGTGCTGCACTGATAGAGTTATCAGTGAATTGAGGAAAAAAAAAAAAACCCTGTTCCCATGTGGTCTAATAGAGACACATAGGAAATAAGCAAAACATATTTTATAATACATGATAAATGTGATGGGGAAATGAAGGCAGAACTGGAATTGGGATGCTTTCGATATTAGATTCAATATTTGTATTTTACGCTGCTTTTTTCCCTTTGCTTGGGGGGAAAAAAACTGTGACTCTATGTATTACCTTTGTTACTATTATATTTCCTTAGGTGTCAGGAAGGCACACCCCTGTCAGGCTTGCTGCTGTTTTGCCAGTCTTTGGTTCTCAGTAAGAGTAAGTGGAGGGGTTGTCTGGGTTCCTAGGATGGGCACTGGCAGATCTGTGCTGAGGAGGAGACGAAGGTGTCTTTGCTTGCAATATCCATGGGCCGCCAGCAGGTGTCAGTAAGAGAGCATGGCGGAGCAGTGCCCTGGCAAAGGGTTAAAAGCTTCAAAACTGAAAGAGACCACAAACAGGAATAGCTTTCATTTTGCAGCAGCAAAACACCCCATAGGCATATAAATTAGCCGGCTCAAACACAGCACTGACCAGAGTAAGGAGAACACACCCCTCGCCCCTGTAGGACAGCACCCATCACCCAGCCCGTTAGCCTGCCGCGGACACGAATGTTCTGCCTAGCTGCCAGGACTGCAAGTCACTCAGAGGAGCCCAGATAAAGAGGGTTTGTTATCTGCACACAGAGGCGCTCAAAACACCCAGATGCAGGAAGTACAGCAGCCCCCAGGGCCAGAGAGCTCTCTCCAGCGGCTCTTCTTTCTGCCCCGGTGGGTCTTGTGTTTTCACCGCACCGTCGACTCCAGCACCCTTTCTGCCAAGGCTTAGAGGGCGTGCGATCCTTGGCCCTAACCCCAGACCGCCGTGCCATCCTGCGCGACCTTAGGTCTGGGACCTGATAGCCGCTGACTGACTCCAGCGTCTGAGGGCAAATTCTTTCCACCCAGTCGGGCCGGAGTCAGAGACCCCTCCGCCGAGACTAAGTAGCTGGAGTCAGCGTGTGCATAAGTGTGCATAAGTGCCCAGCTATGTTACCCTTCTTGTCTTCCACTGGGAAACCAGATTCTGCCTTTGTCTGCCGTCTGAGCTGACCCTGACCTTGGGGGGAGGGCTAGACGGAAGTCAAGGGCAGCGAGCTCCAAGTCTTCGCCCTTTTAAAGACGGGCTGGAGCCTCCTCCGCCCGCGGTGGCCTATTCCCCACCCACCACATCCCAGGTGTCTCCTGACAGCCACCCGGTCTATCTCCCCAGGTGAACCTAGCCGGCATCGACGCGGACGCCGTCCTGACCTTGGGCCTGAACCTGTCGCGCCTGGGCCAGGCAGAGCACATCCTGGAGCTGCGGCCTTCCCTGGGGGCCGCCGAGGGTCGCGTTCGCTACGTTGTTGCCGCGGCAATGAGCAAGGTTTCTTCCGCGTGCGGCACCTCCTCGGCCTCAGCTCCCTGCAGTTGGGGCGTCGGAGACCCCGACCTGGAACTTACCATCTGGAGGTGGCGAGCGTGGTAGAGTCCTGGAACCCCAAAACCCAGGCAGAAGGGCAGACCGGGCCAGGAGTCCGGTCCCTGCAACTGAAGCTGCGGCTGCGGCTGCAGTAGGGGGAGGAGCCGGCCTCAGGCCCGCCCACACCCCGGGGCTCTGCGAGGGGTGCCCCTGATCTCCCCGTGGGGATGTGGGGAGAATGATGACACTCCCCACTATGTGGCCTGAGTAGTGCACACCACGGTGACAGGCCCTAGCCTCAGCAGGCCCCCACCTGTCCTCTTCCCCAGAGGTGCTGGGATAGACGGCCCCCCAAAACTCATGAAATGCTACACAGTGACCCCGGACAGGCCTACCCTCTACCTGGGGGCCTCAGGACACGGGCTTTCCTGGAGCTGAAGCTTCAGTGTGCACCCGCCACCCCCCAGCAACCAGGGGCGAGGAGAACCCCGTTTCACTGTGTCTGGTCAGGCTCGGGCTCAAACTTACACAACCCCAGCGGGCGTTTAGGACGGGGACCAGCTAGCTGGGGAGGGGCTCATCTCAGAGCAGAGGGGCCTTAGCCAGAGTTGGTGACTCCGGCCGGCCATGCGCATGCTCACAGAAGCTGGGCTAGGGTTCCAAGGATGCTTTTATATCAGAAACCAAGACAACAATAAAGCTATTTTGTGTTAAGTCTGCACCCTGGGCAGTTCTGGCGATAAATGGGCGTTGCCCTCAGAAAGGCCAGGCTCACACTTCAGGGGGCTGGTGGCCCCGAGGCCAACGTGGAGAAGGATGAGCGTGCAGGTGCGAGATGAGTGAAGACCACCCTCCCAGGTCAGGGGCCTGGTGCAGGACGCTGGCCGGGGAGGTGCGGCCAGCTGCAGGCCTGTGACTGGGCCCAGAGCGGACTTGGAGGCAGCCACGGGGGGGCGCTGTGGGCCCACCATCGGCCCGTGCTAGCTCGGCCTGGGGACCGGCCTCTGCATGGCAGGCGCCGGCTGTTTTGCAATTACTGCCCCTGTGGAAGTGGGAACAGATGCCGCCATTGTCACCCCATTTTACAGCATGAACAACAGACTCATGGCAGTTGTCCCCAGGCTGCAGAGAGCAAACTTTGGTGGGGTGGGAGGGGGATTTGTTCCATTCATTGCACCATCCGGCCTGGTTCTAGAGCTCAGGATATTTCTTTTGCAATATGATGATGATTCATTATTTTTATATATTGCAAAATGATGACCACATTCACCTCGTTAACGTCTGCCCCCAGAGAGAGCTGCAGGAGCCGACAGCTGAGCTCATCCGCGTGTGTGTGTGCATGCGCGCTGGGCATGTCGCAGAAGTAGTGTATTTAGTACCTAGCTGACTTGCATGGAGCAGACAGAATTATCCCCCATTTCTGGGGGTGGGAGGGTCAGAGACTTGGAGGGTTTGTGGAGTCTGCCTGGACCCCCATATAGCACGGCAGGGCCTGGAAGTGACCCAGCTTTCTGTGCCCTGGCCCCAAACTGCATTTCGTGTTCTAGAGACTTCCACCTGAGAGGTTTCTGTTGTGGGAGCTGAATTGGGGCGGGCTGTGCCCCCGGCCCTGATCGGCAGCCCACCTCCACCGGGGGCAGGTCCTTGGCTGGGCCTGGCCTTTCTCATTGGCCAGGAGCCTCTGGTTACCCATCTGAGCTGCTGGAGGGCTCGCCTTCCAATAACTGGTCTCCCCACTGGTCTCCCCATGGTGACCCCACTGTACAGAAAGACGGAGGCGCCAAGGTGAGCAAATGGTTTGCTCACGGTCATCAGCTGGAACTCTCAGGGTTGGACCCCCAGGGGACTGCAGCCAGCATGGCCATCGCTCCCTACCCTGAACCACCTGCCGCAGAGGCCGAGACCCCGCCCGCGGACGTGGGGCAAACGTGGGACCCACCCCAGGCTGGGCAGTCGCTTGCACGCATGAGGAAATGTGTCAGACAGCAGTGATGTCCCACCAGAGATTTATTTGGGATTCCCAGGACACTGATGAATGGTCTTGAGTGGGTGGCAGGAGGCTGTGTGGGGACGACATACCTAATTCTCTAAAAAAGACGTGCTGCAAGAATTCCTCGCTGCGCTGGGTTAAGCCCCTGAAATAAAGTCAGCCTCCTCCTCCTAGCTGCCGAAGAAGTGGGGGTGATTGGGGAGTGAGGCGGGAGGAACCAACAAACAGCAAGAGGGTCTGTAACATCCGAGGTACTGGTCCTGCAGGAAGAAGTGGAGAGGTTGGAGGTGGGCTGGGGTGGGCTGGGG